GTCCATCACCAGCATCTCCCCCATATCTCCCGCCAGATCTCCCCCATATCTCGTGCAAACCTCGTCCATCACCAGCATCTCCAGGCCGTGGAGGCGACAAGCCGCTCGCCTCTCCTCCGCCGCCCCCGGAAGGCTCTTGGAAGGGGGCGACAGGAGCTGCTGCCGCGCGCGGCTCGAGGCGGGGAGGATGCCGCAGAGAGAGAGCAGCCGGCCTGCGGGCGGGGGGGGGGGGGGATCTCGGGCGATCTCGGGCGGTCTCGGGCGATCTCGGATCACCTCGGCCGATCTCAGGGCAATCTCGGCCGATCTCGGCCGATCTCGGCCGATCTCGGCCTGGAGTAGCGACGAGCAGGCGCGGCTTCGCGGCGAGCAGCTCGTCCCTCTGCCTGTGGAAGTCGATCCCTCCAACCTGTTCACAGCTACGGCGGCGTGAAGAGACGCCCCTCGCGCCTCACAGCCCGCCCCGCCCCAACCCGACGCCGCGCGCCACGCAGCCGCACGAAACCTCGCTGCAGCGGCCGGCACCGCCAGCTGCCAAGGAGGCGGAGCGGGGGACGTACGCACGAGGCGCGGCGGGGGCGGTGTGGCTCGCGACGCGCCGCGCCACCTCCGCCTACTCTCGCAATCTCGGGGCCAATCTCGGGGCCAATCTCGCCCAATCTCGCCCTCTCTCGCCGGGCCCCGCCCCACCGTCTGCAGGCACAGCTCTCGCGTCGGCGCCAGCACCAGCCCGACCGGCGACACCTGCTCACAGCCCCGCGCCTGTAAAGGTGCGGCGCCCGCGTTCACACCCCTCACAGCGCCCAGCCCGACTCGGCGCCACCGCGTCGGAAGGCCGCTCAGGTCCTCTCCGTGCCGCCGCCGCATCCGCCGCCGGGCGGGGCGCGGGCGGTGGCGGGTGCGCTGCCGCCTCTGCTCCGCCCGCGCACGCACCCGTGCTGCCAGGGTGGCCGGAGCCCGCTGTCTTGCTCGCCGCCCTCGCCGCCTTCCTCGAAGCTCTCCACGCCGCTTGCCCCTCGGCCCTCGCCCTCTCCTTCGCCTCCTCCTGGCTCGCACCGGACGACACCGCGCGCCGGAACGCCGCCGTCGCCGCCTGCCGCATCGCCGCGTCCGCCGCCGCCCTCACCTCCTCCTCGGAAGGCGGCGCGGCGGCGCAGGCGGCGGCGGCGGTGGCGACGGGAGTGGTGGCAGCAGCGGCGGCGGCGGCGGCGGCAGCGGCGGCGGCGGCTTGCGGACCATCCGGCGCGATCCTCAGCTCGGCGAGTGCCCCGGCGTCTGGCAGCACGTCGGTGACCGGCGGAGGCGGCGGCGGCGGCCCTGCGGCCAGGTCGGCGATGAGCGGGAGGAGGAAGGCGAGAGTCTTGCCAGAGCCGGTCGGCGAGATGGCGACGAGGTCGGGTGGGTGGGGAGCGAGGAGCCATCCCCAGCACTCGGCTTGCACGAGGGAGGCCCTCGCCATCCTCGCACCCGGCCCGAGCGCAGCGAGGCAGCCCTCCATCACCGGAGCGGGCACTGGCCTCCCGTGCCGGGTCGAGAGGGCGGAGACGTCCTCAAAGAGAGTGACGGCCGAGCCCTTGAGCGGTTCATCCCCGCCGTCGAGGCGCCTGACTGTGACGGTCGATCTGTTCATTTTTCGTTACCTCAAGGCGTGCCTAACAGCTACGAGCTTAGCCTGTAGCAGCTCGTGAGGCTCAGCGGGAGAGCCGCCCACGTGCTTCGTGCTTCGCCGAATTTGGGTTCGCGTCACCATACCGTAAGGTGCCGAATGTAAGGTAAGGTAGCTTGAGTTAGGGAGCCCTTTTCCTCTTACCGAACTCCTGTTCTAATGTGCCTAACTCCTGCTTACCCACCTCTCGGTCCAGCCGGACCGGCACATACGGGCCCCGCGGCCCGCACCACTGAGGCATCTCCCTCCTACGCTGCGAACACCTTCGCTCAAGTACACGAGTGCCTACGCTACTAGATTCCCTACTCCTCCTCCTCCTCCTCCTCTTCCTCCTCCCCCTCCTCCTCCTCCTCCTCCTGGCTCGGAGAACGTGCAGTCGCAAGGAGCCCCGTGGTGGAATTCTGTGGGCTGTCCTGTGTATGTGTCGAAATGGATGTCCATCTCGATCCCATTCGCGCCCTGGTTCAGGGACCAGTCCACAGTCTCTTTGAGGTTGGCGCCGTGGGCGATCACGATGCTGTCGCCTTTGGCTGTGCATGTGTCCCACGCTTTGCACGTTTCGTCTTTGCACTGGAAGCCCTGTGCGCACTCGCTGTCGGCCCAGCACTTGTCACCCTGTTTGCCGGCGGTGCAGTAATTGCAACCCCTCGTCTGGCAGATTGGCTTATCTGGGAACTTGGCTGCGCACTCTTTGTCCTTGTTGCAGCGCGTGTCCTTTGGGACGCCTGAGCACTTGGAGTCAACGTAGAGCTGGCACGGGAAGCGCCCCTTCTTCTGCACAAAGGAGTCCAGGCTCGACGAGGAGACGCGGCCCGAGTACAGCACGCACTCGGCGCCACACTTGTCGTTGGTGTTCACCTTGAAAACGCTGATGGCCCACTCGTCCTGCGACCCGGCTGGCGGGTCGCCGCAGGAGGAGGTCGGCTCGAGGAGCGCGATGTTCTTGAGGTCCCAAACGGCGGCGGTGAGCACGTCAACGGCGGTGTACGCCTTGTCGCCAACGACAACGCCGTCGTCTCCAATCTCGACAGCGCCACGATCTGGCGACATGGTGTAGGCGACCGAGGTCTCCGGGTGGAACTGGAACTTGATGTCTGCGATGAAGGTGCCCGACTGGTCGGCCGCAGACTCGGCGGCGACGTGCTGCAAGTTGGGCGTGACGGATAGATCGGAGCAGATGCCGGCCGCGGCGACCAGCCACGACGCCGTGAGGTCGATGTCAGGGACGGGAGCGAAGGCTGGCTGACGTGCCGTCGGCTTCATGTTCGTCATCAGAGGCGTTGGCGACAGACGCCGCCGGAGGCTGCGCCGTGCCTGGTCGGAGAAGGTGTGCGACTCGACGAAGAGCTGGCAAAGGAACCGGCCCTCCTTGCGCGCCACAAAGTTGTCCGACGCGCCCGAGACGAGGCCGGAGAAGTGCACGCACTCGTCGCCGCACGCCTCGTTGCCGGTCACCATGAAGACGCTCACGGCCCACTCGTCCTGCGACCCGGCGGGCGGGTCGTCGCAGGAGGAGGTCGGCTCGAGAAGCGCGATGTTCTTGTTGGTCCAAGTGCCCGCGGCGAGCACGTCGGTCTGGCTGTACTCCTCGCCGCGAATCTCGATGCCGTCCTCGAGCGAGGCGGCCTGGTGGAACGGGGCGTCGGTGAAGGCGACCGACACCTCGGGGTGGAACTTGAAGTCGATGCTCGCGACACCCGCGACCGGCGTGGAGGACAGGTCGGAGCAGAAGCCCGAGGCAGCGACGAGCCAGTTTGGGTCGTCAACCGGGTTGGACACGGGCGGGGTCGGGCGAGGCGCGAAGGTTGGGTGGCGATCGGGCGAGGCGAAGAGTAGCCCCGAGTTGGGCTCGGGCATCGGGTCGACCGCGGCCGCGTCGGGCACGAACACCGACTCGAGGAACTCGGAGACGCCGCCAGAGCCGTACGAAGACAGAGCAACAGCCGAGCAGCCGAGTATGACCACCACGGTGAGGAAGCCGCACAGCAGCTTGGTCGAGCACAACTTGCCGACGCGGAGGCCGGAGCGCGTCGAGGGCGTCGTCGACGACGGCGGGGCGTCGTCGACAGACGCCTTGCCGGCGGAGCCGACGCCAGCGAGGTCTTCCTCGTCGGCGTCCGTTCCGAGCAGCGCCGCGAACCCGTTGGGGTCGACGCGGCCGATCGGGGTGAGGTTCTTGTCGATGCCCTGCGCGCGTGACGTGCGGCAGGCGAGAGGTCACAGGATCAATATAAGTGCCAACCTGTAGAACTCCCGTGTCTCCGCAATACCCGCGTGTGCAGAGAGGTGGTGGGAAGCGCGCTCACCGCCGGGACAGGCTCCTCCACGGGAAACTCCTTGGTCGAGACGTTCCAGTCGGCGACGCCCTACGCATCACGCGGGACGGGTGAAGGAGTGGGTCGGCAGACGCACGTGCGCAGAATGCCAGGCGCTCGCCGCCGGGGCGGGCTCCTCCACCGGAAACTCCTTGATTGACGCGCCGGACTCGGCCACGGTGACGTCCTCAGCGGGTGCGTTCTTGGCGCCGCTCGCCTGTCGGCGAGCGGGAGAATGGGAGCGTGTTGGGAGGAGATGGTAGATCTGCGACAAGCGCACACGCACCGCCTTAGCTCCGAGGAGCGGAGGCGAGTTCGACTCGGAGTTGACGACATTGATGAGGCCGTCTTTGGCCGACACGATGCCGACCTTCACTGTCATCTGGTTCTCTGACATGATGCCGATCGAGTTTTTGCTCGTACCTATGATGGGGGGGCGATCTCAGGCACTAACGGACGATATGTCGGCTAAATCTCGCCTGAATCTCGGCTAATCTCCTCTGATTGCTGCACATCGTAATCGGGCCATCAAGTGCTCCTTCTCTCTGCTCTGAGCGTCTTTGAGGGCCGTGAAATTTGGGGAGGGGGAGGGAAAGAGGGCCGCACCTAATCGCAGCGTACACAACTTGAGTCCCAGCGCCAAGGAACTCCGCGGCACACCCGCCTCGCTCACGTTGTTTTGGATCTGCGAGGCGCGCAGGCGGCGGAGGGCGCGTCAGCAGCGTAAAATGGGATGAGCATGGCACGGGTTTGGTTCGGGCGTCGCGGGAGGGGAGAAGGCATGGAGGCGACCCGCGGCGCCGCGCTCAGCAGCGCTCCGACCGGCAATCCGATTCGCGGCGCTCGATCCTTTGGAACGAGCCGCTCGCGCGGCGGTCGCAGCACGGCGGGCAGCCCGGCACGAGCGCGCTGCAGCGCTTGGGAGATTGGGCGAAGCGGCCGGAGCCGCTCGCGCAAAGGCCAACACGCGCCGCAACGCGCGGGGCGAGGGGAGGAGGCGAGGAGGGAGGGGCAGTGCATTCCTGAGATTGCGTGTCGTCGTTCTGTGTTTCGGTGATTGCACTGCTCTCGACCTCGATCAAAAAGAGCGCCTTCGGCACTACTCTATCGAGGTCTCGCGGATCTTATCAATCAGCCCGCGACGGGAAGGGGAGGGGCAGCAGCGTTTACGTGTGACATCGAGCTCGCGGCGTTGAGTTCGGCGCGGTCGACCCAGCCACATGAGTTTGACTAGCGAGACCCGCTTTCTTTTTTCGTGCGGGGGCCCTAGAGGAATCCTCGGACGACCCCTGACGTTGCGAGCGGCACTGCGATCACGCTGCATGGCTCGCACTCGGTCGATGGACGATGGGAGGCGAGCTTGCGAGAGTCACACACGACACACACGAGCCGACAGGGACACAGACACAGACACAGACATAGACACACACACTGCGCTCCCTCAGCGGGCAGGGAGACGCGAGCCCGACGGAGTCTGGTGGCGGGGGCCCACGCAGCCAGCCCCTGCACTGACATGGTTGGTGCTAGGCCGCCGCCGCCGCTCGCTCTCGAACTGCGTCGCGCTGCTGCTGAGCGCCGTCGAAGTCGCAACCCTGCCGCCGGCTGCGTCGGAACCGGGGGCGCCCTCTTTTCTCAATGAAAAACATAAAACCAAAGCATGCCAGCCCAGCGCACAACGCAGCGAGAGGCGCGAGAGGACCGTCAAATGCACCGAGAAGCGAGGAGTCTCAACACAGAGCTCATCAGTGACCCGGCGCCCACGCCTCGATCTTCTTGGGCAGCAGCTGGTTCGACAGGTCATCTCCGTGGCCAAGGCAGCCGCTTTCACCCATGCCCCAGGTAAACACGGCGCCGTCGGCGGTGAGGGCGAGGCTGTGGCACGCTCCAGCCGACACAGCGACGACGCGCCGCCCCGCCAACGCCTCGATCTTCTTCGGCAGCAGCTGGCTCTGCTGGTAGCCGTGGCCCAACCGGCCCAAGACTCCAAGGCCCCAGCTCCAGACGGCACCGTCGGCGGTGAGGGCGAGGCTGTGGGTTCCTCCAGCCGACACAGTGACGACGCGCTGGCCAGCCAAGGCCTCGACCTTCTTGGGCAGCAGCTGGCCCTGCGTGTCGCCATGGCCCAGCTCGCCAGCGGGGCCACCACCCCAGCTCCAGGCGGAGCCGTCGGCGGTGATGGCGAGGCTGTGGCCGAGTCCAGCCGATACAGCGACGACGCGCCGGCCAGCAAAGGCCTCAACCTTCTTCGGCAGCAGCTGGTGCTGCACATCACCGTGGCCCAACCGGCCATCGCCTCCACCGCCCCAGCTCCAGACGGCGCCGTCGGCGGTGCGGGCGATGCTGTGGCGGGCTCCAGCCGACACAGCGACGACGCGCTGGCCAGCGAAGGCCTCGACTTTCTTGGGCAGCGGCTGGTCCTGCCGATTGCCGTGGCCCAACTGGCCTCGGTCACCCCAGCCCCAGCTCCAGGCGGCTCCGTCGGCGGTGAGGGCGAGGCTGTGCGCGTAGCCAACCGACACGGCGACGACGCGCCGACCTGCAAAGGCCTCGACCTTCTTCGGCAGCAGCTGGTCTTGCGTGTCACCGTGGCCCAACCGGTCTTCGCCTCCCCCTCCCCAGCTCCAGACGCTGCCGTCGGCGTTGAGGGCGAGGCTGTGCTTAACTCCAGCCGACACGCTCACGGCGCCCTCGCCGCCCAGCGTGCCCGAAGGGAGGCGGGTCGGCGTGTTGAGCCGCGTCACGCCCTCGCCGTGGCCGAGCAGCCCCGGGATTGTATAAATGTAGTCCGAGCCGCACGACGAGAGCCGCCCCTCGCCGTCAATGAAGAGGCTGTGATACCGGCCTGCAGCCGCCCTTGCCGGCGGGTTGGACTCGCGCAGCAGCGCCGAAAGGCACAGCCACCGCACGGCGCAGCTCTCGTCCTCTGGCTGCGCCGGCAGCTCGAAGCCGCGCTCTTGCGCCCACAAGCGGATGCCCTCGGCCGCGAGCGAGGCGTGAAAGAGGAGTGAGACAGCCGCGACGCGAACGATGTCGGCGGGGTCGCAGCGAGAGAGGGCGCGCGCGAGGAGCTCCGTGGGGAGGTCGAGGAGGCGGGCGGGTGGCGGCGTGCTTGGCGAAGCCGCGGCGGTGGCGGCGGTCCCGTCGTCTGGCGGGAGCTCTTCGTCGGGGTCGGGCGGCTCGGGTGGATCCACGTCAATGTCCGCCGCGTGCGTGTGCGGAGCATGCATGTCCCACGTCTTCGTCACACACCGCGTTGGCGCGGCGTACGCAGACATCGCCAAAAAAAGAATTTAGTGCTTAGCTACTCCAAGTACTCGCCCACGATCACGACATGCCGCCACCAGGGTTGCGAACGACTTCGACGGCGCTCACGTGCTTACGCTCGCCGTGGCGGCCACGCAGCGCCGCGGAAACGCTCAACGGTCCGAGAAAGATGGCTTGCGAGCACGGCGCGGCCGAGACGGGCCACGCGGCCGGGCACCAAGCCTTCGATGGCGGCCTCGCCCGCCATCGACCCGGGAGAGTCGCTCGAGGCTCTCTTCAAGCGTGCACGCATTGCCGACAAGTTTTACCGCAAGTGCGAAGGGAAGCTCGAGGACCTGGGCGTGGGCGATGCTGGCGACCTCCTCACGGTGGTCGCTGTGAAGGGCATTGCCTCGCTCGGACTCCACGAGCTTCAGGCGGAGAAGCTCCGCCGGACTCTTCTCGGCCGACGGGGCTGGGAGGACGCAGCTGCTGTTGCGGCATCCTTTGGCGGCCTGTCGCTGGACGACACCCCTGCTGGGGTGGCGGCTGGCGACCAGGCGGCTAGTGGCGCGGCCAGCGCGCCCGCTCTCGACGGCATGGCCGTCGATGGCGGCTACGCGAGCGCCGACGAGGATGCCGGGCCTGCCTCAGGTGGGCTCGCAGCAGCTTCAGGCTCCAAGAAGGAGCCTGGCTGCTCTCGCAGCGGCGCTCGTACGAGCGCTGCTGCTGAGGGCAGCGAGGGGGCGGTGGCTGGCAGCGAGGGCTGCAGCGGCGCACGCACCCCAGAGGCGGAGAGCGGCGCCCGCGAGGCGCGGGCCGCAGTTGTTGCTGGCGGTGTTGGACCCGCTGTGTCTGTTGACACTTCGGAATCCGCGCCGCCGGCGGAGGAGGGGAAGGGCAGCTGCCTTTGCCCGCTGCCTGTTCCTGGTTGTACCCGCGTACCGTCCACACCCGGCCACGAACCCACACCGCAGTCTCCGGACGTTGCGGCGGGGGTCGGAGTCTGGACTCATTCTTCTTTTGCGAGGTCCCAGGAGCATGCGGTGGGCACGGCAACCGACGAGGAGGTCGAGGAGGAGGCAGCGGGGGCGGTTTCGGGCGCGGCGCGCGGCGCCGAGCCGGACGGCCCTCCCACTGCTCGCCAATCTCGCCCCTCCCACTACTCGGTTGCCCAGTGGGCGGCTATCCAGGCGGCTGAGAAGGCGGCATGGGACGCGGCGCGCTGCCCTAGGTTTAGGGCGGCTTTGGACGCTATGCCGGAACAGGGGCCGGGATGTTGCGACGGAGGGCCGGAGCTATGGGCTGGCGCCACGACGTTGCAGGACACGGAGGGGTGGAAGGAGCTGGTGAAGGCGGGAAAGATTCTGCTCTTCGACAGGGATCGGGCGGTGGTGATGCGATATGCTCCTGGCGGGGGGCGCGGTCGAGGGCGCGGGGGTGGGTCGCGCAGTGCCCGCTGGCGGGGCAAGCGGCGAGGGGGTCGCCGGGGGGGTTGGGATGATGGGGATGGTCTTTTCGGCGAGCACTACGGTGCTCGCGGATTCGACTGTCCCCCCGATCGTGCCCACCTCCATGAGGACGACGGCGCCTTCTAAAGGTCCGTCGCTGACTGTGCCTCTTTTGGTACCTGTGTCGAACCTGTGTGCTGTGCGAGAGAGTTCTTTTTGTTGAATTCTTTTTGTTGAACTCTCTCTCTCTCCCACATCTCTCTCCCACACTTGCGCAGTGCCGACTGCGCTCACCTCTGCCGGCCTCCTCCTCCCATGTGCGACTCCCTCCGTCAGCAGGGAGCCCACGCGGCGCACACCGCATGTGTCGCCGGGCTCGGAGCGTCGCTCACGGCTGCCGACGCGTTTCACGCGGCCAGCTCGCACAGCTCGCTCGGCGACGCACCCGAAGCCGCCCGGTGGTACGAGAGAGCGCTTCATCTGCGACCCAGTTTCGCAGAGGCGCGGCTCAACCTGGCCGCGGTCCTCGCCACGCTGCGGAGGCCGGCCGAGGCGGAGGAGTCGTACCGTGCGGCGCTTGCGATGCGGACGTGGCCACCGAGCGTGGCGGCGGCGGCGCACAACAACCTCGGCGTGCTGCTGCGCGAGGGCGGCCGCACGAGCGAGGCGACCGCCGCCTTCGCCGCCGCTGTGGCTGCCGACCCCACCCTCGCCACGGCCGAAGCGAACCTGGAGGACGCTCGCGGCGACGCCGACGGCTTCCACGGCCTCGTGCGGCGCGCGAGCCAAGCCTTTCGCGAGGCGTCGGGCGCGGAGCCGAGCAGCGGCGGCGGCGGCGGCTACGACGAGGCGATAAAGCTCTACACTGAGGCGGTGGCGGTGCGGCGGGGCGCGAGGGGTGCGGCTGCGGTGGTCGGCCTTGGCGCGGCTCTGCACGGCGCGGGAAGGCTGGAGGAGTCGGCTGAGGTGCTGCGCGAAGGAGCACGCCTCTCTCCCGCCACGCCTTCGATGCTCGAGAACCTCGGCGCGGTGAGCGCGGCGCTGGGGAGGTGGGAGGAGGCGGCGGACGCTTGGAGCGCCGCCCTCGCGCAGCGGCGCTCGACAGGCGCCACCGAGCTGCGCAGCGCCGCAGAGGTGTTCGTGCGCGCGCGAAGGCACGAGGAGGCCTTCAGCGCCTTCGCCGCCGCAGCAGCGCGGCAGCCGACCAACTGGCAGCACCACTACGCGCACGCGCACGCCCTCCTCCTCGCCGCCGCGGAGACGGCGCGCTCCTCCGGCTTCTCCGCCGCCGCCGCTCGGCTCATCGCCGCGCCGGCGGCGGGCGGCGGGGAAAGTCGGACACCGGCGGCGGCGGCGGCGGCTGCGGCGGCGGCGGAGCGGCTGGAGGCGCGTGCGCTTGAGGCGCTAGTGCCGCTCTCTCGCCCAGCCGTCTCTCTCGCGGACCGAGCAGCCAGCTTCGCCCTCCCCCTCTGGATGCGAGACGGGGGCCGAGGCTTGCGCGGGGGCGGTCCGCCTCCAAGCTGTGAACAGCGAGCTTGTTCACACCTCGTGCTGTGAATAGGCTTGCGCGGGGACGGTCCGCCTCCAAGGTCGGCGGCGGAGCTCCGCGCGGCGCAGGGCTCGCGGCGGCGGGCGGCGGCGGGCGCGGGGCGGCAGGCTGGCGTGATTGTGTGCAAGCTCGGGCCGGCGAATTAATCAGTGGTGAATTGACCAGTGGTGAATTCAGCATTAGGCTGGCGTGATTGTGTACAAGCTCGGGCCGGCGGCAGCGGAGCTGACCAACCTGGAGGCGTCGGTCTGGCGGCTCGACCGCTACTTCAACGCCGCCCGCCGCTACCCGGTCGTAGTGTTCCATGATGAGCCGCTCGCCCGCGCCGTCGAGGCGAGGGTGTCCTCTCTCTCCTCGGGGAGCCTCTCCTTCGCGCGCCTCGTCAACGAGCTGCCGGCCGGTCTCCCGCGAGAGATGGCACCGGCGCAGGCGCGATCTCACCCGAGATCACCCGAGATCTCACCCGAGATCACGCGAGATCTCACCCGAGATCTCACCCGAGATCACGCGAGATCTCACCCGAGATCTCACCCGAGATCACGCGAGGTCTCACCGGAGATCACCCGAGATGGCACCGGCGCAGGTGCACGGCTTCAACCTCTCGTACCGGCTGATGATCCGCTGGAAGGCAGGGCTGCTCTGGGGGATGCCGCAGCTGCGAGGGTACGAGTTCGTCTGGCTGCTCGACACGGACGCCTTCTTGCTCGCGCCGCTCACCTACGACCCCTTCGCACTCCTCGCCGCCTCCAACGCCTCGTACGGCTACGTCGACGTCAACGTGGAGACGGGCGCCGGCGGGCGTGTGCGGGTGTGGCGCGTCAGCACGACGCGTCCGTGACGCGTCCAGCACCCGTCCACCACAGGCGCCGTCGCCGAGGGGCTCGCCGAGTGCGTCGAGGCCTTCCTGCACGCGAGGCGCGGCGGCGGCGGCGGCGGCGGCGGCGGCGGCGGGGGCGGGGGCGGTGCGGAGCCGACGCTGCTTGACTCGTACCGGCGTGGTCCGGGCGGCGGCTGGGACGGGAGCAAGTTCTACACCAACTTTCAGGTTCCTGGAAAGTCCTCGAAGGCTCCCAGAAGGTTCGTAGAAGGTTCCTAGCCAGTTGTGCGCCCCCTCTCAGGTTGCACGGCTCGAGTGGGGGCGATCGGAGGGGTACCGCGCCCTCTTCGACCACGTCGACCGCGCGGGGGGCATCTTCTCCCGCCGCTGGGGGGCGGACCCCTTCATGTTCATCGCCGCGACGCTGCTGCTGCCGGCGCGCGCGATACTCCACTTCGACGACGTGTCTTACCTGCACCAGCACCTGGTCATGAACCTGCCCGCCGCTCCGCCGCCAGACCTGACCCCCACGCCGCCGCGCGACCTCGCCGCGACCTCGCGCGATCTCGCCGCGACCTCGCGCGATCTCCCTGCGGCGGATGAGGCGAGCTCGTCCTGCGGCGCGCTCGGAGGGCCTCCTCCTTCGCGATCTGCGGTGGGGGTGGAGAGTGAGGCAGAGGGGGAGGAGGCGGCGGCGGCAGAGGAGGCGGGAGAGGCGGCGGGAGAGGCGGCGGAGGAGGAGGAGGAGGAGGAGGTGTGGCTGTTGGTGCACGGCGCCGCGCACGCCGCCGCCGCCGCGTCGACGCTGCAGGCGCGCCCCCCCCCCCCCCTTTCTCCCTGGCCTTCCGCTCCGAGTCGGCTGCGGCGTTGCCTCTCTCGCATCAAGCGTGGTGGTAGGGAGTCCACTCTACATTGCCTAGGCGTGGTGGGAGGGGAGCCGCACGCGCTGCGGCGGCGCGCGCCTGCGCCTGACAGCCTGGAGCTACTCGTCACTGCTCGCTGGCGGCGGCGGCAGCGGCAGCAGCGGCAGCAGCAGCAGCGGCAGCGGTGGCAGTGGTGGTGGCCGCGGTGGTGGCAGTGGTGGCAGTGGTGGCGGCGGCGGTGGCGTCGGTGGCGTCGGTAGCAGTGGTGGCGGCGGCGGTGGCGGCGGAGATGCCGACACGGCGGAGGTGCTGGAGGCGCTCCACGCACTCGGGGTGGTGCAGTGGAGCGATGAGGCGGGGGTGCGTGCGCTGCTCGGCACGTCGCGCTCGGGCGCGCCGACCTCGAGTGCCGAGTCGCTCCTCGCCATCGCAGACAGCCTGGAGGCGGCGCTGGGAACTAGGGGCGCCGCGCGGAGGCGGCGGCGGCACCCCCTGGTGATGCTCTGTGCCCGCGAGGGGGACGCGGGATCCTTGGCGGCCGCGCTGGCCGTGCGGCTGCTCGAGCTCGACGCGATCAACGCGTGCGACGAGGCGTTTGGGTCGCGAGCGTTGCAGGCGACGAGGCCGTTGGCGTTGCCTGGTGTTGCCGCCGCGCGCAGCCCCGCAGCATATCGGCAACTCGACAGCGCGGCGTGCAGAACATCGACGTAGTGTGAGTGAAAAGGTGTATGCAGAGAGAGAAAGACAAAGAGGCTCTGTACTGCTCGTCTTCGTCATTCGTGCATGATAGGACCAGCTAAAAAAGCATAGAGATTAGAGTTTGAGTCGGAACGGTATGGGTAACACCAACGTAAAAAGCCAAAGCGTGCCACTGTGCACTGAGCGTGCATCATGAGTCGACAGGTCTCAGACTTTGGGCGGCCATAACTCGGTAACTATTAATGGTCCACCTGAAAACTCTTCGGACGTGGAGACGCGAGGGTTGCCCCCCCTTGCCCCACCACCTCGTGTGTGTGGAGAAGTTTACCTTACCTTACCTACCTCTTCGGATTTGGAACGGGCGCCCCGCGTCGCGCACTCGTCCCAACCGGGGGCCGCAGACTCGTTCTCTGCGCGCCAACGGCTGGTGACGCTGTGTTGCCCTTGAGCTAGTCCTTCCCCGGTCGCCTAGCCTCTGCGCTGTCTGGCGAACGCCTGTATGCCATGCGCGCGGACCACGCTTGCGTGGATACGTGGCTGGCAGGCTGACCCGGTGCGGGGGTAACCCGCGCACGGGGAAGCTTCACGGGTTCGAGTCGTCAAACATTAAGCAGCGGAGGTGTGCCGATGGGGACCGGGAGGCGGTAAGTCGTCGTCGCCCGGCGCTGCTTGCAGCACCATGGCGATGGCGCTAAGAGGTTCCTCTTTTCCGCGCCCCCCCCCCGCAAGGCGCGCGATACACACACGAGCGAAACCTTTTCCTTCGAAGCTCAGCGACGTAGCCGGGCGAGCAGAATAGGGCAGCCCTAGAGAGCACCTGGAGGCCGTTCAATAGAGCCCGTGTTATAGTCGAGAGTCGATCGCCGGCCGGCGCAGTGCTGCTCTGACAGCTCCGCCGGGCCGCCTCCGGGCCGCCGCCGCGGAGACGTGCACATAGGCAAGTTGGTATTTTCACATATGAACTTCAAAATAACATTGGCTAATCTAATCCTACTCATCACAACTCACCAGGAACACCACCACACTATAGGGTCATTGTATGTAGCCTTGCTTAGAAGGTTAGGTTTTGTGCAAGGTGTGCGTGAAGCGGTATGGCTCACCGTGGCGGTGTACCGTGTACGGTCTGTAGTCGGCCCCGGCAACACGGCGGGAGTCTATGACCCTCCGCCCCGTGGTTGGATGCTTTACGCCGCGCATTCCCGGCGACCCTTTACGGCTTTACGGCACACGCCACACCCGTGATGCTCGCGGGTCGCGCGGCTGTCGCGTTGGGCTTTTCTAGATCTCGCCTGCGCTGAGCGTGCGGGTGCCGCTCGGCGATTCATGAAGTGTAAAAACACTAAGCAGAGCCGCTGCGCCCCGCGCCCCGCCCGTCCCGCCCACCCCGCCCGCCACGTCCACGCCCCCCTCTCCCCCCTCGCCCACCGACCGCCGCCGTGGCGCCCACGGGCTGAGCCAGGGGCGCGCGGCGCGGGGCGCGAGGGCGACTGGTGGACAAACGTCGTTTGCGCCGCCACCAACCTCCCAGTTGCGGCGATGGGCAGCGCCGGCTGGCGGCAGGCAGGGCAGTTGCTGAGAGGCAGGCTGCTCACCCACGTGCACCGGGCCACTGCTTGCACTTTTGAATGCCGTGGGCGGTGGGGGGCTCCTCTACCCGTGTGTCCGGGTGCGTGGAGATGCGAGGGTCGCCCCCCCTTGCCCCACCACTTTGTGTGTGTGGAGAAATTTACCTTACCTTACCTTACCTTAGGGTCGTGACGGCATGGAGATGACGATTGACGCCTCCGATCTATCCCGGCCAGCTAGAGCTCTCGCCTGACGCCTCTTGCGCGCCGCGCTGTGCTGTGCCCCTTTTTCATCTCCCGCTCCAAGGCAAGACACAATCTCACGCAAATACCCAAATACTGTGTGTGAATACGAGACGAGAATGAGGTGTACATGCATGCGTGCGAAGGAGTGTTCTTGACGATGAGGCTGCTCACAAAACTGCCTCTCTCTGTGGCAAAGAAGGCTGGTGCTCCGGGGTCAGTATTGCACGCTCAGCAGCCATGGCGCAAAACCGTGGCAGCGCGGTCTCCGGCTTCTTCGCCCCGGCCCTCACGGCGCCTCCTTGCTGCCGCTCGAGGCGGGGGCCGAGTGCCTCCCGCGCGTGCCGGAGCTGGCGAGGCCGTTGCCCGAGTTTGCGATGTTCTTGAGCTGCATCCGCGCAATCTGCCGCAGGTTGACCGTCTGGAAGTCGTCGAGCGAGCCGAGCGAGCGGTTGCCCGGCGACTGGTCGGGCCCGGACGCCGCCGCGTCGACGTCCTCGAGGAGGAGTGACATCTCGCGCTGGTCGGCCGCGGTGGTGCCTCCGTCAGTGGCCTGGCTCGCCGTCGGCGTGTAGGGGGAGTACTGCTGCCAGAGCGGCGTGGAGTGGTCGAGCTGCGCGAAGAAGGGGTGGCTGAAGATGTCGGCGCAGCCCTGCTCATGCCCGAGCCGCTTGTCCGGGTCGAGGACGATCAGCTGCGAGAGCAAGTCCACCGCCTGCCACTAATGAACTAGGAATCAGACATGAATTAGATGCGCTGCGAGAGCAAGCCCGCCGCCTCGGGCGACACGTCGGAGGGGGAGAGCCGCTCGTACTCGCCGACGAGCACCTTTGCGAGATGTGAGGGAGATGTGAGGGAGATATGGGGGAGATATGGGGAGATATGATCTCGGAGGGGGAGAGCCGCTCGTACTCGCCGGCGAGCACCTTTGCGTAGATCTTTGTGGCGGTCGAGTCGCCGAAGGGCGTCTCACCCGCGAGGAGGTGATAGGCGACCTAATTAAGGAACCAACTACGATGAACCGATTATAATTAATTCGCGTCTCACCCGCGAGGAGGTGATAGGCGACCTAATTAAGTAACTTAACTACGATGAACCGATTATAATTAATTCGCGTCTCGCCCGCGAGGAGGTGATAGGCGACCTAATTAAGTAACTTAATTACGATGAACCGATTATAATTAATTCGCGTCTCACCCGCGAGGAGGTGATAGGCGACCTAATTAAGTAACTTAATTACGATGAACCGATTATAATTAATTCGCGTCTCACCCGCGAGGAGGTGATAGGCGACCACGCCGAGCGCCCAAAAGTCGACCCGCTGGTCGTGCCACTGGCGGCGCAGGATCTCTGGCGCGAGGTAGTCGGCGGTGCCAACCTCGAGCGAGTTGTGCTTGTTGGACGGCAAGCTGCTGCCGCCGGCGCCTTGGGACTCCTTGCCGGCCGCCGTGGGAGAGGCGGGCGGGTCGTCGACAGCGGAGAGCCCGAAGTCGGTCAGCTTGATGTGGCCGTCGCGCGTGATGAGCATGTTTTGCGGCTTGAGGTCGCGGTGGATGATGCCTGACGAGATGTGAGGGAGGTGTGGGGGAGATGTCATCTCGGGCTTGAGGTCGCGGTGGATGATGCCTGACGAGATGTGAGGGAGGTGTGGGGGAGATGTCATCTCGGGCTTGAGGTCGCGGTGGATGATGCCTGACGAGCTGTGAGGGGGGTGTGGGGGAGATATGGGGGAGATCTGGCCTGACGAGTGCAGATACTGCAGGCCGCACACGGCCTCTCCGAGGAAGAAGCGCGCGATCGCCTCCTCGAGGAAGCCCAGCGAGGAGAGCAGGGAGAAGCAGTCGCTGCACGGCGCGTACTCCATCGCCTGGGGCGAGATACGGGGAGATGTGGGGGAGGTGTGGGGAGATACGTGAGCACGGCGCGGACTCCATCGCCATGTACAGGTGGTTGGCGGTCGAGAAGGAGAAGAAGAGCTTGATGACGTACGGGGAGTCGGCGTGCGCCAGGATGTTCTTCTCGAGGTGCACTGCGCGGTTCATCATCCGCACCTAATTCGTTCATTATTAGGCTAGTCGACTAATTCATTAATTAAGCACTGCGCGGCTCATCCTCCGCACCGTGGTCTCCTTGCGCGAGAGAACCTTGATCGCCACCAGGTTATAGGTAATTAATAGTTCATTGAGAGTTCATTAGCCTGAGAGTTAACTAGAGAACCTTGATCGCCACCAGGTCGCGCGTCCGCTTGCGCTCGGCCAGCCAGACGTTGCCAAAGCCGCCGCGGCCGACCAGCTTCTGGAGGGTAAAGTCTCGGATGGACGTCCCTATCGGCATCGAGTCGGTATTAGTTCTTCATTCTCAACGACTCCTCGCCGAATTAACAACTACTAGTTCCTTTCGGCATCGAATCGCTCAGCAGCGTCGTGTTTGTGCCGCTCTTGGCGTCGGCAGGGTCTTGCAGCGAGAGGAGGTCCCAGTACACTTCGATCTTTTGCGAGACGAGCGCGTCCGCCTGCGACACGAGATGTGGAGGAGATATGGGGGAGGCACGGGGGAGAGATGATCTCACACGAGCGAGTCTCCGCCTGCGACACGAGATGTGGAGGAGATATGGGGGAGGCACGGGGGAGAGATGATCTCACACGAGCGAGTCTCCGCCTGCGACACGAGATGTGGAGGAGATATGGGGGAGGCACGGGGGAGAGATGATCTCAAACGAGCGAGTCTCCGCCTGCGACACGAGATGTGGAGGAGATGTGGGGGAGGCACGGGGGAGAGATGATCTCACACGAGCGAGTCTCCGCCTGCGACACGAGATGTGGAGGAGATGTGGGGGAGGCACGGGGGAGAGATGATCTCACACGAGCGAGTCTCCGCCTGCGACACGAGATGTGGAGGAGATATGGGGGAGGCACGGGGGAGAGATGATCTCACACGAGCGAGTCTCCGCCTGCGACACGAGATGTGGAGGAGATGTGGGGGAGGCACGGGGGAGATATGATCTCACACGAGCGAGTCTCCGCCTGCGACACGAGCTCCGCAAACGAGGCGTCCGAGAGGCCGGCGAAGTTGGCCCGCAGCTTGCCCTGGATGACAATCAGCCGGTAGACGAGCTGGATCGGGTCGGGCGCCTACGGGGAGAGGTGGGGAGAGATGGAGAGAGGTGGGGAGAGATGGGGAGAGATGGGGAGAGATGGGGAGAGATGGGGAGAGGTGGAGAGAGGTGGGGAGATGGGGAGAGGTGGGGAGAGATGGAGAGAGGTGGGGAGAGATGGGGAGAGGTGGGGAGAGGTGGGGAGAGATGGAGAGAGATGGAGAGAGATGGGGAGAGGTGGGGAGAGGTGGGTAGAGGTGGGGAGAGATGGAGAGAGATGGCGAGAGGTGGGGAGAGGTGGGGAGAGGTGGCGAGAGGTGGGGAGAGGTGGGGAGACGTGGGGAGAAGGGGGGGAGAGGTGGGGAAAGTTGGCGCAACAGTGCGAGCAGGTTGGGTAGATAAACGAGCTGGAATCGTGTGGTCGGGCGCCCATTAACCCCCGGCCGGCCTCATT